TACTGTCTAATTGCTGAGACTAGGACTTCCAGTACTATGTTAACTATCAGTGGTGCGATTGAACATATTTTGATCTTTGGGGAGAAGTTCTCAGTTTTTCACCATTGAGTATGATTTTAGTTGTAGGTTTTTCATGTATGGCTTTTATTACGTTGAGATAGGTTTTGTCTAGACTTACTTTCCAGAGGGGTTTTTTTTTTTTTTTTATCATGAATGGTTGTGGTACTTTGTCAAATGCTTTTTCTGCAACTACAGAAGTTGTCATATGCTTTTTGTACTTTTTCTTATTGATATGATGTATCATGTTTTGCAAATATTGAACCATCTTTGTGTTCTGGCACTAAATCCAACTTGATGGTGGTGTGTGGTTTTAAAAATGTATTGCTGGATTATGGGGCGCCTGGGTGGCGCAGTCGGTTAAGCGTCCGACTTCAGCCAGGTCACGATCTCGCGGTCCGTGAGTTCGAGCCCCGCGTCAGGCTCTGGGCTGATGGCTCAGAGCCTGGAGCCTGTTTCCGATTCTGTGTCTCCCTCTCTCTCTGCCCCTCCCCCGTTCATGCTCTGTCTCTCTCTGTCGCAAAAATAAAATAAACGTTGAAAAAAAAATAAAAAAAAATGTATTGCTGGATTAAGTTTGCTAATATTTTGTTGAGGATTTTTGCATCTATACTCATGAGAGATTTGGTCTGTAGTTCTCTTTTTTTGTGGTGTCTTTATCTGGTTTTGGTATCAGGGTGATACTGGTCTCAGAATGAATTCGGAAGTTTTCTTTCCTCTTATATTTTTTAGAATAGCTTGAGAAGAATAGGTATTAACTCTTCTTTATTTTTTTTTTTCAACGTTTATTTATTTTTGGGACAGAGAGAGACAGAGCATGAACGGGGGAGGGGCAGAGAGAGAGGGAGACACAGAATCGGAAACAGGCTCCAGGTCTGAGCCATCAGCCCAGAGCCTGATGCGGGGCTCGAACTCCCGGACCGCGAGATCGTGACCTGGCTGAAGTCGGACGCTTAACCGACTGCGCCACCCAGGCGCCCCATAACTCTTCTTTAAATGTTTGGTGGAATTCACCTGTGAAGCCATCTGGTCTTGGACTTTTGTTTTTTCTTTGGGGGGGGTGTCTTTTTTTAAGTTTATTTTTGAGAGAGAGACACACACACACAATGTGAGCAGAGGAGGGGCAGAGAGAGAGAGAGAGGGAGACGCAGAATCCGAAGTAGGCTCCAGGCTCTGAGCTGTCAGCACAGAGTTGGACGCAGGACTTAAACTCAAGAACCACAATATCATGACCTGAGCCAAAGTCTGACACTCAACTGACTGAGCCACCCAGGTGCCCCTGTTTTGGGGGAGTGTTTTGATTATTGATTCAATTTCATTGCTGGTAATTGGTCTGTTCAAATTTTCTATTTCTTCCTGCTTTAGTTTTGGTAGATTATTTGCTTCTAGGAATTTATCCATTTCTTCTACATTGTCAACTTTGTTGGCATATAGGTTTTCATAATACTCTTGTTACAATTGTTTGTATTTTGGTAGTGTTGGTTGTTATTTCTCCTATTTCATTAGTGGTTTTGTTTATTTGTGTCCTCTCTCTCTATCTCTCTGTTTCTCTCTTTCTTTTGTTTTTTTGGATGAGTATGACTAGAGATTTATCAATTTTGTTGACCTTTTCAAAGAACCAGTTCCTGGTTGCATTGATCTGTTCCATTGTTGTTTTCTTTTTTAAGTATCTCTATCATATATTTCTGCTCTAGTCTTTATTATTTCCTTCCTTTTGCTGGTTTGGGTTTTGTTTGTTCTTTTTCTAGCTCTTTTAGGTGTAAGGTCTTTTGTGTATTTTAGAAGGAAAGGAAAGAATCAGGCTGAGTGAGAGTCTAAAGGAAATCCACCTCTAAGTAGGCTTTAGTTTTAGAAGGTATTGGATGTCTGGTCTGAGATGGGAGGATAGACAGTATACCCCTTGGTTGATTCTTGGAACTCTGGGAACTCAGAGAAAAGACAGGGGATGCAACTTCTCCAGGGAATGTGGAGGTCTAGGCCTCTTCCAAAGCAGCCCCTTGGATGGTACTGGTTGCTAGGGTCCATGAGAACTGGGCCAGGATACTTTGGATAGGGCATTTTCAGAGCCTTGACAAATGTCCCCAGCCACCAGGCAAGGCCAGATCAAGACTGTAGGGAAGCACTAAAAATGTTACAGTGCCCCCCGCCCCCGCCCCGATAAAAGAGGTATATGAAACCAAAAAACAGCTTTAAGGGTATACTATAGATTTGTGATTTTCCCCAGTAGTGTGACTGCTTTCATGCTCTCCTCTCTCTCCATCTGCTTCTATTTCTCCTCTTTCTCCTCCTTCTCAAATATAAAATTATTTCCAAAGTTGGTTTTTTTTCCCCCACTCCTGGCTTTGCTGGTGTCATGAATGGGTGATTAGGACATGCCCAGGTCAGCTGAGTGGCTTGACTTCTTTTTTTTTAGTTTATTTATTTATTCTGAGAGAGACAGAGACAGCACAAGTGGGGGAGGAGCAGAGAGAGAGGGAGACAGAGAATCCCAAGTAGGCTCCGCACTGTCAGCACAGAGCCTGATGCAGGGCTCAAACTCATGAAACTGTGAGATCATGACCTGAGTGGTAACCAAGAATCAGATGCTTAACTGACTAAGCCACCCAGGTGCACCTGAGCGGCTTGATTCTAATGCACCCCACAGGCCTAGGCAAGAAACAAGGAATACAAGGCAGTGCTGACCACCATGGTCAGAGCAGCAGACTCTCCTCTTTCCTCAGGACAGCGTGAGCCTAAAGCTTCCCTGTGTGACCCAAGGGGGATGGTCTGAATAGTGTTAGACTCTAGAATTCTAGTCAGTGATGGTCAGGGCTGAGGTCAGACTTGATATGAGTGAGTCCATAAAGAAATAAGACATTACCTGTGCCCCAAGAGCTGTGGATCAGATCATTCATACATGTTACACGTATATGGACATACATGCTTACATGCACATAACTCTTTCTAGATAGAGAAGGAACTAGTAACAATTATGGCTTCTGGGAAGTAAGACTAAGTCTGCCTATTTGTTGTTGTTGTTTTTTGACTAGGTTTTTTAAAAAAAACATTGAACAGATGTTATTTTTATAATAAAAATGTACTTCAAAAATTAACATGACAGCAACAATAAACTCATCAGATTGCTAATATCTTCAGATTTCAAACTCTAGGACAGATGGAAAATCTGCTTTTCAGGAAGAGCTTATGACCCAGGGCTAGGCTATTAGAGGGGGACCAGTGATGCCTTCCAGCTGTGGTGTGTCCAGTGCAGCTGGAGAGGAGGCTAAATATAGAGAAGGCTGTGCAGTGTAGCAAGATGAGTCAGGGCTAGTGCTAGAACATTCCTTCATTCTGTCAATGAGCATTCACATTGTACCTGAGTTCCAGACACAAGGACATAGAAGTAACAAAGCAGCGGGGTCTGGCTGGCTCAGTCTGTAGATCAAGCGACTCTTGATCTCAGGTTCATGCGTTCAAGCCCCACACTGGGTGTGGAGCCTACTTAAAAAAAAAAAAGGTGAACAAAGCAGACTGAGTCCTTGGTCCCCGGATTTAGAGTCTAGAGGAGGTGATGTGTGGGTCACACTGGGCCACACTGGCCTAGCTGGAGAACCAGGAGAGAGAGTGTGAAGCATAGAGGGCCCAGGAAAATCCCAAGGTCAGGTATGGGTAGAGGAAGGTTGTGTACCTTTCCAGGGCACTTAGTTCTTTAGTGCCTCTCCACAGGGCCTCTTCTATGTTGTTTGAGGGGCTAGAAGGTTTCTTTTTATTTACTTATTTACATAGGGCTTGAACTCATGACCCTGAGATCAAGAGTCACATGCCACACTGACTGAGCCAACCAGGCACCCCTAGAAGTTTTCTTTTTAATTTAAAAGATTTTTTTAATTGAAAAGTTATTTTAAAATTCACATAGAGTAAAATTTACTTTTTTTAGTGTACATTTCTATGAATCTTAAAAATTTTTTTGAATGTTTATTATTTTTGAAGGAGAGAGAAAGAGAGACAGAGCGTGAACAGGGGAGGAGCAGAGAGAAAGGGAGACACAGAATCCAAAGCAGGCTCTAGGTTCTGAGCTGTCAGCACAGAGCCTGATGTGGGGCTCTAACCCACAAACCGTGAGATCATGACCTGAGCCGAAGTCAGATGCTCAACCGACTGAGCCACCCAGGCGCCCCTCTATGAATCTTAATATGTGTAAAAATTCATGTAATCACCACCACAATCAAGACATAGAATAGTTCTGCTGCCCCAAACTCCCTTATGCTATCCTTTGTAGTCACATCCTTCCTCCCATCCCCTGCAAACCTCTTGCTGGTTTGAGCTATTCTCCATTACTGTTGTTTTGTCTTTTCAAAAATGTCACAAATGGAATAATATAGCCATGGGACCTTTTTTAAAAGATTTATTTATTTATTAAAAATGTTTATTTATTTGGGGGGTGGATAGAAGAAGAGGGAGAGAAAAAGGGAAAGAATCCAGAAAGAATCCCAAGCATGTTCTGCACTGTCAGCATGGGACCCGACACAAGGCTTAAACCCATGAACCTAACCACTAACCGTGAGTACATGACCTGAGCCGAAATCAGGTCACTTAACCAACTGAGCCACCCAGGCACCCCTTAAGATTTTATTTTTAAGTAATCTCTACACACATCATGGGGCTGAAACCCACCACCCCGAGATCAAGAATCACATGCCCCACCAACTGAGCCAGCCAGGAGCCTCAGCATGAAACCTTTTGAGATCAGATTTGTTCATCTAGCATAATGCCTTTGAGAGGCATCCGAGTTGTTGCATGTATCAATAATTTGTTTCTTTTTGCTTCTAGATAGTATTCCATGGTATGGATATGTCAAGTTATGCATTTACCCATTTTAACATAGTTTTGGGTAATTACCAATAAAGCTGCTGTGAGCATTTAGTGTACAGGTTTTTGTATGAACATATCTTTATTTGTCTCAGGTAAATACCTACAGGATTGCTGAGTTATATGGTAAGTGTGATTGACTTTATAAGAAATTGCTGAACTGTGTTCGAAAGCAGACTTTGTGCTCCACTAGTAACAAAATAGAGTTGCTCTGCATTCTTGTCAACATTTGATGATGCTGTCAATATCTTTTACTTTAGCTATTCTAATAGATTTGTAGTGGTAATGCATCATGGTTTCAATCTGCAAAATTGATGGCCAAATGTTGAGTTTATTTGCCTTCTTGCTACCCTCTTAGTGTAAGTGTCTATTCACGTCTTTTGCCTATCTTTAAATTCGGTTGTCTGTTTTCTTGCTGTTGAGTTTTGAGAATTCCTTATGTATTCTGGATACACGTTCTTTTTTTTTTTTAATGTTTACTTGAGAGAGAGAGAGAGAGAGGGAGAGAGAGAGGGAGAGAGAGAGAGTATGAGCAGGGGAGGGGAGAGAGAGAGGGAGACACAGAATCTGAAACAGGCTCCAGGCTCTGAGCTATCAGCACAGAGCCCGATGCGGGGCTCGAACTCACAAACTGTGAGATCGTGACCTGAGCTGAAGTCAGACACTGAGACACTGGGTAGCAACTGAGCTACCCAGGCACCCCTGGATACATGTTCTTTGTAGGATATGTGATTTGGAAATACTTTCTTTCACTTGATATCTTGTCTTTTCATTCTCTTAGTAGAATCTTTGGCACAACATATTTTTTTTAATTTGGTAAAAAATATTTTTATCACTTATTTTATTGAGATGTAACTGCTATTTAGAAACATGTACAAATAGTAAGTGTACAGCTTGATTCATTTTTATATTTGTATTCACTAATTTAACCACAATCTCCCCCAAGATAGCATCACCCCCATTACCCCAGAAGGTTCCCTTAAGCCCCTATCTAGTCAATATACAGCATTCCCTCTCATACCCTCCTTTGAAATAACTGCTATTCTGACTTCTGTCACCATATATTAATTTTATCTAGAAGGTTTCAAAGAATTGTGCTCCATGTTTTGTGACCTACTTGGTTTTGTCTTGGAAAATGAAAGTCTCCAAAAACCCCACTTTGGAGACAGATGCCGATGCCCTCACCAGATGTGATGCAGAGGTTGGTTAGCAAGGCTGGGTTTCTTAGCATCTTGCTTCTGGCATGCCTTAAGCCATGCTTCACAACAGGGTCCAAAAACTTGGTAGAAAATGCCAGAAGAGGTCTAGGCACCCTAAAAATCCAATGACATGGAAAGAGAAGAATCTCAGGAATCAAAAGACATGGGTTCAGCCTCCCTCTCTGACATTTCCTGCATGTCCTTGAACAAACTACATAAACTTCTTGAGCCTCAGCCACCTCATCTGTAAAGTGGGAACAGTATATCCACTGTGCTTATCAGGCTTGTTCACAAATATGTGAATCTCTTTCTTCTTCCAGGTTCCTAGGAAAACTGTACTTTGCCACCCCATTTAACTCTTACCAATTAACCCAGGCATGGCTGTGTAACTTAAATTGACTAATTACAATATGTCTCTTCTATGTGGAATAATTTTAAAGATTTAATTTTTAAGTAATCTCTACATCCAATGTAGGGCTAGAGTTTACACCTCCAAGATCAAGAGTCACAAGCTCTACCAACTGAGCCAGTCAGGCACTCCCTACTTTCCCCATCTCCAAATATTTATTTATTTATTTATTTATTTATTTATTTATTTATTTATTTATAAAAGTTTATTTATTTATTTATTTCATCAATCTCTACACCCAATGTGGGGCTCAAACTCACAACCGTAAGATCAAGAGTCACACACTCTTCCAAGAGGCACCCCTCTTCTGTGTAGAACTTTTAAAAGCCAACGTGTGCTTTTCTACATTCTCTCCTCCTACTTATGGCAACTGGCAATGTTTCAGATAGTGGCTACCCTGTCAACCTAGGTCCTAGAGTTAGGACCATGATGACTCAGAGTAGAGCCTCAGCCAACCCAGGAGCAATAAATAACTTTTTGTTGCATAAAGACATCGAGATTTTAGGGATGCTTGTTATAGAAGCATAACCTAGCTTCTTTGGGTGACATACTGTATTATAGATATTACCATAATTATATGAAAAAAATGTGCAACTTCTGGGTACATAATAAGGCTTAATTTTCTTCCTTTCAAAATCTTTTTCTTTCTTTCTGAAGGGTCATGAACCTAGGGATGTTCTTACCAGCCAAGAACCCTTGATGATCTATAAGAGAACAGACATCCATTCAACCACAAAAGAAAGAAGAGGAAGGGATGCAAAGCAACAAAGGGTACAGAAATATGACACAAAGCAAGGAAGAGAAACAAAGTGAAAAAAGTGAGACAAAGTATAAAAACAGGGAGAAGAGAGGTACAGAGGATGCCTGAGACACAGACAGAGATGATTCTAAGAAAAACAACTGCTGAGGCAAATGGAAACTGTATCTGTTTGGGATGTCACCCCAGCCCTAGGCAAGTAATGTCAACTGTTATGGTAGCTGAACAATCTTGATTAGTTCCTGGTCTTCCATTCATCAGTCTTGGCACCTAATGTTTACTGAGCACCTACTGTATGCCTGGCACTGTGCTTGTGCTAAGTTTAGGGAGGTAAGTATGACCCAGTGCTAACAGCTGCTTTCAAGAATCCCCTAATCTGTTGTGAAGCAGTCACATGAAGAGTTAGAATAAAATTTGGCCTGTGACATGATGGAAGTGCCTGCAAGGAGTTACGGGAGGAGAAGGGGAACCAAGCCCTGTGCAGAAGAGTGAGGAAGGACTTTCTGGAAGACATGAGACTAAGAGTCTTGCAGGATAACTAGGAGTTAGTGAAGGCAGGGTGGCAGAGGGGTAACAGGGGCCAGGTGGTGGAGGTGAGAACCTGCAGGTAGTTTGGGGTTGCTGGAACCTTGATGAAAGGCATTGGGCATCAGGAGATGAGCCTGGAGAGGGACTAGGGCCTATCTCAGGGGCTTGATACCTTTCACTGGGTTGGTTAGGGAAGATTTGCATGGCTAAGCAGAGAAGCTAAATTGCTTTGCCCGCTGTGTGGACAGTGGATTGGGGGCAGAATCTCTTTTTGTGAGATCTTTTGGGATTAGGCTGAATGCCCAGCCTATGGCCCAGAGGTGCACAAGATGGCCTCTGGAATAATCACCCCAGTCAAGGCTTAGTGAATGCTGCCACGAGCGGGGCAGTGTTCTATGTGTCTTATGGACCCTATGTGGAGTAACTACTTCACTCTCCTGACAACCCTGTGGTGAGGGTATAGTCTTATCATCCCCATTTTGACCACCAGTAAACTAGGCACAGAGAGGTTAAGTTGTGCATCCCTGCCCTAAAGCTAGTAAGCAGCACACCAGCATTCCAGGGCAGGCTGCCCAGCTCCGATCTGCCTCTAACCATTCTCCCTCGGGCCTCCTCAGGGTTGGCTGCTGTCAGGAAGGCCCTCACAGAGGCATAATTTGGCTTTGGCATCCTGCTTCAAGTTTATTTTCCACATCTATCTTCCACATAGATGACCTAACTCCAGCTTGCAACAATAACTTCTGTGAGGTAGGTAGTATTATTCATAGCTAAGAAAACTGACCAAGGAAATCGAATGATTTGTCAAAGGTCAAAGTTAGACTCAGACGTGCGTCTTCCAAGCTGGAGTCCAGTGTCAGGTCTCATGTTCATTTGTCAGTCAAGGCTGAGGCCAGCCTCATGCTCAGCACGTTGCATAGTTCACAGGTCAGAGCACTTTCCACTCCTATTGCCTTTTGTCCAGGAAAAATGCTTTTCTGAACTGAGGGAAGGAGTCACAGAGAAATGTGTTGTTGGCATCGATTTCCTATAGTTGGGCAATAGCTTCCGCCATCCAGACCAGGTGACGTCAGCTGTCTGGATTCCTGCCAGTGTTCTCCTGCCCAGGAAACAGACTTCCGGCCAGGGCTAAGCTGTCTCTGGCTTCCTGGAGCAGTAGACCTCGGAATTTGCAGTGAAAGACTGAACATCAGATCTCAGGGAAGGTTTCACTACAGGGGAGGAGGTAAAAATGGGGAAGAGGAATTGAGAAGACACTGTTTAGGGATAAGCATGGAGCCTCTCTGCCTGGGGTCTGGGGTTTTCCTTCCAGCATGAGGGCAGGATTCAGTGATCATAATGAGAGGGTTAAGACTGTGACTAAGAGGGGCGCCTGGGTGGCTCAGTCAGTTAAGCGTCTGACTCTTGATTTTGCCTCAGATGATGATTTCACGGTTCTTGGGATCAAGCCCTGCACTGGGTTCAGTGCTAATAGCACAGAGCCTGCTTGGGATTCTCTCTCTTCTTTTCTCCCTGGTCCTCCTCTGCTTGCGTGCTCTCTCTTTCTCTCTCAAAAATAAATAAACATTTAAAAAAAGAGAGAGAGACCGTGACTAAGAGACTTAAGTAAATTCAGGGTGGAGGGGAAGAAAGGCAAGCGAAGCTAAGGAAATCTGGAAAAAATTACACATAGAGATACAAACACAGAAGGTCAAACATAGGCTAAGAATAGAATGTTGATCCCAATCCTCATGCACTTTTCAGTGGATATGAGTCTTGAACAAATCAGTAATGCAGGAATATAAACAGCTCTCATTTCTTTTCTCTTTTTTTTGTAATTATGAAAGCATAAAAGTTATTTAAAACATCTGAACAATAGATACATGAATTAGAGTAGAAAATGAAAGTGTGCCACTATCATCCTGAACCCTACTCTCCAAGCCTGGTTCATAAATGGTTTAGCCATTCCTTCAGCCAATGTTGATGTCAGTTAATCCTCACAAAAACCCTATGAGGTAAGAACTACTATTATGCCTTTATTATTATTATTGTTTTTAAATTGTACTAAAATTGTACTAAATTGTACATAAAATTGACCACATTAGGGAGTCCTGGTGGCTGCTGATGGTGAGTGGCCTTCATGGCCTTCAGGCCCACCCGACTCACTGGCAGACGGTGTTGCAGCCTTCTGAGCGGGTTCTGTGCCACTGCAAGTCACAGGGACAAATACTGGTTCTTTGCTTGTTTGAGGAGAACCCAGTTTGAAGAATATAAGAATGAAAAGGATTTGGGAAAGGCTGCCAGCTACCTAGGGAGGCGGAGGCAGAATCTGGCACAGTCAGCCTCCACCACCATGTGTCTCCCTCCCGGGAGACCCTCCCAGGGCATCCGCTCTGAGAGGTAGGAGTGTTACAAGGTTCCTCGTGGTGCACAGATGACCTTGCATCCTTCTGAGAAAGCAATGTATCGTGATTTCTTTGCCAAGAGAGGTCAGTGGAAGAAACTGGGGAGGGAAAGCTGGGAGCGAGAGGCTAAGCAGCTGCAGGAGGACACCTGCCCTGTGGTCCTAAGACAGAAGCTTTGCCCCTTGCCTGAAAAGCAGGTGAGTTGCTCCCATTGTGGCACATTGTGACCAGGCCCCAAGAAGAGTTGACGTAGAGAGAGACAAGGACACCTCACCATTCAGGCTTGCAAGGAAATAAGTTACAGAACATACACACACTTGCCCTAATAAAAATAATAGACATGGGAAAAATTTACCATTTTAACCATTTTTAAGGATATAGCTCATAGCATTAAGTACATGCACAGTGTTGTGCAACCATCACCACCATCCATCTTCAGAGCTTTTTCATCTTCTGCATCTGAAACTCTGTGCTCATTACACAGAATCTTCCCATCCCTTCCCATAGCCCCTGACAACTACTATTCTACTTTTTAAAAAATACTTTTTATTATTAAAAAAGTTTTTTTTTGAATGTTTACTTATTATTGAGACAAAGAGAGAGACAGAGCATGAGCATGGGAGGGACAGAGAGAGGGGGAGACACAGAATCCGAAACAGGGTTCAGGTTCTGAACTGTCAGCACAGAGCCTGATGTGGGGCTTGAACCCACAAACCATGAGATCATGATCTGAGCTGAAGTCGGAAGCTTAACCAACTGAGCCACCCAGGCGCCCCTAAAAATACTTTTTTATTTATTTTATTTATTTTTATTTTTGACAGAGAGAGAGAGATAGAGCATGAGTGGGGGAGGGGTAGAGAGAGAGGGAGACACAGAATCTGAAGCAAGCTCCAGGCTCTGAGTTGTCAGCACAAAGCCCGACGTGGGGCTCGAACCCACAGACCGCGAGATCATGACCTGAGCTGTAGTTGGCTGCCCAACCGACTGAGCCACCCAGGCACCCCTAAAAATACTTTTTAAAGTTTATTTATTTATTTTGAGAGAGAGAGAGAGAGAGAGAGAGAGAGAGAGAGAGAGAGAGAACATAAGCAGGGGAGGGGCAGAGAGAGAGGGAGAGAATCCCAAGCAGGTTCTGCACTGTCAGCACTGAGCCCCATGCAGGGCTTGAACTCATGAACTGCAAGATCATGATCTGAGCTGAAATCAAGAGTCAGATGCTTAACCAAGTAAGCCACCCAGGTGCCCCCACTATTCTACTTTCTGTCTCTATGAATTTAACTATAGTAGATCCCCCATATAGGTGGAGCCATGTATTTGTCCTTTTGTGACTGACTCATTTTACTTAGCATAATGTCTTTGTGGTTCATCCATGTTGTAATATGTGTCAGAATTTTCTTCCTTTTTAAGGCTGAATAGTATTCCATTGTATGTATACACCACATTTTGTTTATCCATTCTTCCATCAATGGACACTTGGGTTATATCCACCTTTTGGCAATTGTGAATAATGCTGCTATGAATGTGGATATACACATATCTATTTGAGTTTTGCCTTTACTTTTAATAACAACTGTATTGAGATAGAATTCATATACTACACACTTCACCCTTTTAAAGTGTGCACTGAATGGTTTTTAGTGTTCTCAGAGTTATGCAATCAGCACCACAGTGAATTTTAGAACATTTTCATCACTCCCAAAAGAAGCCTCATACCCATTAATTGTCCCGATTTCCCCTCAGATCTCCCCTGACTTCAGCCCTGGGCAACCACTAATCTACTTTTTATATCAATAGACTCGTCCATTCGGGACATTTCATGTAAATTAAATCATACAATATGTGGCCTTTGTGTCTGGCTTCTTTCATTTAGTGCAGCATTTTCAAGGTTCATTCACATTATAGCATGTATCAGTTCTTTTTCTCTCTTCTCTCTCTCTTTTCCTTCCTCCTTCCCTTCCTTCCTTCCTTCCTTCCTTCCTTCCTTCCTTCCTTCCTTCCTTCCTTTCTTCCTTCCTTCCCTCCTCCTCTCCTTCTGATATATTTTTTGTGGTTTGTTCTCCTTACAGTTTTGGTTTTATTTATTTATTTATTTATTTATTATTGAAGTGTAGTTGACACACAATGTTACATTAGTTTCAGGTGTACAGCATAATGATTCAACAAGTCTACATGTTATGCTATGCTCACTACAAGTGTAGTTACCATTTGTCACCATGGAATGCTGTTATAATTTAACTGACAATATTCCCCATGCTGTACCTTTTATCCTTGTGACTTATTCATTCCTTACTGGAAATCTGTATCTCCCACCCTCCTTTATCCATTTTTCACATGCTCCCAACCTCCCTCCATTCTACCAACCATCAGTTTGTTCTCTGTATTTATGGGTCTGTTTCTGCTTTTTGTTTGTTTGTTTGTTTTGTTTATTCATCTGGTTTTTAGATTCTATATATAAGTGAAATTATATGGTATTTGTCTTTATCTGACTTATTTTACTTAGCATAATATATTTTCTCTCTATTTACATTGTTACAAATGGCAAGATCTCATCCTTTTTATGGTTAATATTCCACTGTATACGTATAGCACTTCTTCTTTACCCATTCACCTACCAATGGACACTTGGGTTACTTCCATATATTGGCTATTGTAAACAATGCTGCAATAAACACAGGTGTGCATGTATCTTTTTGAATTAGTGTTTTGTTTTCTTTGGGTAGTCAGTAGTGGAATGACTGAATCATATAATATTTTTATTTTTAATTTTTTGAGGAACCTCCATATTTTTTTCCACAGTGGCGGCACCAATTTATATTCCCATGAACAGTGCACAAGGGTTTCTTTTTCTCCACATCCTCACAAGCACTTATTTCTTGTCTTTTTGATTCTAGCCATTCTGACACGTGTGAGGTGATACTTCATTGTGGTTTTGATTTGCATTTCCCTGATGATTAGTGATAGTGAGCATCATTTCATGTGTCTATTTGTCATCTGTATGTCTTGGGAAAGTGTCTATTCAATTCCTCTGCCTATTTTTACATTGAATTGTCTGTTTTTGGTATTGAGTTGTATAAGTTCTTTATATATTATGAATATTAGCTCCTATTGGATATATCATTTGAAAATACCTTCTCCCATTTAGTAGGTTGCCTTTTAGT